CCCAACAAACCATGTCCTTGGCCTCATAAGCCTCCTGTTCTAATTAATGGAACTGACTATAAGCACACACTTACCCAGAATTTAAAGAAAAAAACAAAAAGTCTTAATTGACTTCATTAGCAAAAAAGAAGTTACAACTCTTTAAATAACTTATTAATAGTACACACTATTACTAACATAGTAATAGTAATATAGTTGATTACTCAATATATAAAGTGCTTCCTTTCTTGGCACTTGAGGTTTTGGTTGTACATGCAAAATTCAAATGTGCTAAATGTCACAAATAAATTACAAATACAGAACCCTATTTCCATGTATTAAAAAGAGTGAATAATTTAATAAGTATTCAGTTAAGTGTAGAGCTGAGAAAAATATAAGACTAGGCCTTTACTAGACAGAACCTTATACACAATCAGAAAAAGTTCAATAGAGTCCAAAGGGCTTCATATTGAGAATTGAGAGAGTTCAGATCAGGATGGCCTGGTGTTGTCTGGAAAGATATCATGAAGTAAGTGTGAATGGAGATGGACCATGGAGAATAGGTAGGGTAATAAGTGAAAAGGCACAGAATGAGGAAGAAGAATTTGGGGTAAAGATTAAAATGTAGGGGTATTTTGTTGGAGGGACGTAAAAAAAAAAAAAAAAAAAAAAAAAAAAAAAGGTAGGATGAGTCAAGACACATGAGGGCATTGAATATCAAGCTAAAGAATTTGGATTTTATTCTGAGAGGCAAAGTAGAGCCTTTGGAGACCTGAGTAAGAAAATGACTTATAGATCAATGTTTTAGAAAAACTGGAAGGGACTAGGCTATGAATTTTAATACCAGAGGGGCTAGCAGTTTAACCTTTTTGAAGCTATGCATCTTTTTGAGAATTTAATAAAAGCTATGAGCCCTTCCCTGGCTGGCAGGCTCAGAGGTGGAGCGTTGACATATGAGCCAGGAGGTCAGGGTTACTTTTGGTCAGGGCACATACCTGGGCTGTAGGGGTGTGAGGTGGGGCAACCAATCAATGATTATCTCTCACCATTGATGTTTCTGTCTCTCATTCTCTCCCTTCATCTCTGAAATCAATAACAAAATACATATTTTTTAAAGCTATGAGCCATTTGCCTAGAACAGATAGACTCCCCAGAGTTGTGCAAAGTTCACAGTCCCTCTGAAACCTTTTCATATGGGTTCATGAACTCAGGTTTAAGAACCCTTGAATTAAACTTATTTTTTATTTTAGCAGACCAGAATTAAAGGTCTACCCTAGGATTCTAGTTAGTGAACATATATAGAAAGCAAGACTTTGAGATATACAATGCTCAAAACTTGATATGAAATATAAGGTGAGAAGGTTGAAGGTGCAGTGCTTACCCCAGAATTTTACAATGCAACAGATATTCCTAAAGCGCTCAATATCCATTTTCCCTTCTCTTTCATGGCAATAGATAGTTGAGTATATGACCATCCAAAATAGAGATACACATTCCTAGTCTTCCATGCAGCCAGCGTGGCCATGTGACTAAGTTCTGACCAATAAGAAGGTAATAGAAGTGATATATACTACTTTTGGGTCTTGCCTGGTACTCTTCTTTTCACCCTTCCCTTCTTCTTATTGGCCAATAATACATGGATACAGTGGTGAGCTATCTCAGACCAAAGTTGAAAGCAATACCCACGGGATGATGAAGGAACAATAAAGAAGGAGCTTGACCCCTTATGAAACTGCAGAGCAAAGCTGTCATACCAGCTTAGATTTTTATTAACTTACTTGTCATTATTATTCCAGGCCTCTGGCACAACCCTGAAATCATCCTATCTACTATAGAACTCAGTACCCAAGGTGGTTTGCTGCCATAGTAGAAGCTAAAATGCTTGACTGGCTCAGCAGCCAGGTAGTGGGTGCCAAGGACCTATATAGTTCAGAATAGAAAGCTGATGCACACCGTTTTGCTATCTGACTTGGTAAAACTGTCACCTGCAATACCCTGAGAGGTAGACTACATACCCACAGATGCTGTAGCTTAGTAGTGAGTGCTCACTGCTTCTTGTCATTTTCAGGAAAGCCCTGGGAAAAAGACAAGGTCAAGTTGGAGCTAGCTACTCAGCAACAAGAGATGGCAGGAAATTCACTCTGCATAGAGGTACCTAGAAGGCAGACCCTGGTCAGTTTGGAAAATCAGAAGTATTTAGAAAACAAGATTTTGAAAAGGCTGGCTAATAGGAGATAGAACAGACAAAATCCTTCTTCAGGTACATTCTAGTAAGCATTCTCTGTTAGACAAGGGGAGCCAGCTGAGACCTCAAGATCCGATAAAGAGTGTTGCCTTCCCACTCAAGCCTATTATTTTGGTTGATGTCAGGTAAGCAACATTAAATTTAGGGAGCGGAACGTGTAGAACACAGAAGCAATGAATAACAGACTGAAGTTTTGTGGCTTAAATATTGGGTCTAGAGGCCCTCATCAGGTACCAGATTGGTTAGAGCAGGGTCCCCCTATGCCAAGGCTGCGGGTTAGATCTCCAGTCAGGGCACAACCAATGAATGCATAAATAAGCGGAACAACAAACCAGTGTTTCTCACCCCCTCCTTCCTGCCCTTCTCCCCTTCTTCTCCCTAAAATCAATCACTATATAAATGTTAGGTCTAGATGAGATCTTTTTTCTTAATCCTCATCTAAGGATATGGTGCTTTTAAACTTATTTTTAGAAAGCGAAGAGGGAGTGAGAAAAAAACAAACATCAATGTGAAAGCAAAACAGTGATCAGTTGCCTCCCATATGTGCCCTGACAGGGGATTCAACCCACAACCTAAGTATGTGCCCTGACCAGGAATCAAACTGCAACCTTTTTTAGGTACTTCAACCAACTGAGCCACTCAGCCAGGGCTGGAAGAGATATTTAAGCAATTTGCTCATAGAATGACCAGAAGTAAAAAGACTGCAGGGTTATGAATTTTATAAGAAAACTATACTGCCTAAGAAATCCCAACTCTGCCCAGAAAAAAAAATAAAACCTGTAACTGATGACCCCCTAAAGTAACTCTCAAGCTCCTAACCTTATCAAAGTGGACTGTGAAAGGGGTGCAGCCCCCGAGAAGGGCATGCCCATGTCAAAGATGGCCACAGAAGATACTGGATAGAGAAGAATCCATAAGGCAAATTCAGGGGAATGGGCAGAGGGCCGTGTTGAAGGGCCAAATAGACTCGTGAACTTACTACATAGCCACAACAAGGAGCTTTTGTCATTCCTCCCTAGTAGGATTGGTAATTGATTTGAACCAGTGGCTGCAAGAAATCCCTCACTCTTTCCTTCTACAGATGGAAGTTTTCTTTATGTATCATAGGTGTATATATGGGGTGGGTGGCAGTTCACATGAGGAGTCACAGTCAGACCAGATGAAGAGAACCACATATTCTCCAGAAATAATGGATTTTGAGCTGGATCCAGAAGTTGAATGGAAAGAGATGAACATGTTTTATGTTTGGAAAGAAAAGTTTATGTTACTTGAATGGCCAGAGGGATCAAGTATGGTGATCATTAGTTATTTTCTGATATATATTTTCCTTTTCTTTCTCAAGGTAATTTTTAGCTGACACATGGCCACCCTGAATAAAGACCGTGTTTTCCAATCTCCCTTGCATGTATATAGACAAGTGACCAAGTTCTGGCCAATGAGATATTATTGGACATAATATACACAACTCTCCTTCCGCCTTCTCCCACATAGCCTGGTAGGAGATAATGATCTACAAAAAAAAAGTTATTATAAAATAATTTGAAGAATCAAACAGAGACCAATTGTGAGGAAACACCTCAAATGAGATCATAGTAACTGTGCACTGAGCACACACTAATATGATCTTATATGAAGAAGAGACTGTCAAACAGATTTCACACATATATCTCTTTCTGACTATAACAATATTTGGCCACAGATGGCCATGGATTTCCTGTTAGAGAATTACCTGGGGTGCCTGATAAAAATACATATTCCTGAATTGGAACCCAGGGGTAGAGGAAGGAAAGGAGGCCTGGAAACTGGCACTTCAAATATCAAAGTGATTTGAGCACACTCTTAGGTTTGAGAAATGACACCTAAATGTTTGACACTCATTTTGCAAAGTGAAATAAGATACCTATAGTCTTACCCACAATGGATTAACAATGTAGTTCCCAAATGCCTTCCCTAAAAGAAACCCCAATGAGTTCAAGAGAGAGAAATCAGGTTTATCCCAAATGTTCCCTGAGGTCAAGAGCAAAATAGTGAGATACCAGTGTGTGATGTAAGATTCAAAGGTCAGGTGCTCAGATGATAAAGGGGATCTTCATTGTTACTCTAATGACTGGATCAACGATACCAAATGACTTTATTCTGAAAATTGATCTGTATTCGTTTTCTACTCTGTGAGGATGACTAAACATACTATAACTTTGGAGCATAAATCAAATAATCAAAATCTCTTGCACACGAGCATGCAACAGAAGAAAGAGGTCTGTCTTCTAGTCCATTAAAACTCCAGTAACATAGTTCTAAATTCAGCAAAGAGTGTTAAATGCTGAAATTAAAGTTCGAGGCTAGCTGGAGGATATAAACAGGCAACAAATATCACGCTGTGGCCGTGGCCTTGCAATGTATTCTTGTGTAAACTCCAGGAGCTGGGAGATCTTAGAACTTTTCCCGCGGCTCCGCCTCCGCAAAGAGCTCGGTTCCCACAAGTTTGCACAGGAACAGAAGGCAAGAGCGCCCAACACCCCTAAGAACTCAGAAGGTGGAACCGACGTGGCGACCCTGACCTCAAAGTCCCCCAACTCCAGAGGCTGCACAGGGCTGAACCCCACACTGACAGCACCCACGCCTCCCCTCTCTGCCCCCTCTTTTCCTCGCTCCTCCCGGCCCGCGCACAGACTGCAGCCCCCCTGCAGCCCCCCGCGCCCCACAACAGCACCCCGCGGCCGGCCCGGCCAGAGGGACCCGCCTCCCAGCCCCCAGGCCCGCGGCCGCCCCACCGGACCTGGCGGGTGCGCGCGGGCACCCAGGGGTTCCCGGCGCTCGGTCCTCCGCGGCCGGTAGCCGTAGACGCCCCTCTCCGTCTGGTAGCCGCGCCGGAGGAGCAGCGGGGGCGCCCGCCCGAGGCTCCGTCTGGCCGCCGCCGCGGCGACCGAGGCCATCTCCGCCGAGCGCCCGGCGCGAGGACCGGGCTGCAGCCGCCGGGAGCGGAGAGTGCGGCCCCGTGGCGCCCGGGCCCGGACCGCTCGCGGGGGGCGGGCAGCCGGAGCCCCGCCCGCGGGCGACGCCCCCGCGCCCGGGCCCCGGATTGGCGGGCGGCCCCCGGAGCCCCGCCCCGCCCGCCCCCGGCGGGGCGCCGGGCCTAGAGGCGGGGGTCGCCCCGCGCTGTGGGGAAGGGTGGGGTGACGCGCGGAGCCCAGCTCTACCGCGTCCCCGGCCTCCTGGCACCAAACGTGACCCTCTGTGTCCCACAGCCCCCCGCCCGGAGTGTACCCGCACCCCCGCACCCCGCCGCTGGGGCCCGCGGGCACCACCGCACAGACACGTGGAGGCTGTCACACACACACACACACACACACACACACACACACACACACACGGAAGTTAGCGTCTGGGTGCGCAGAAAGTAGCTTGGACTGAGACCAAGGGACGCAAGAAGCCAGAAAAAAATCAAATATCTCACCCTTTTTTATGAAGAAATATTGAGGGAGAAAGTACAGAGGGGGGTGGGAGGACTGGGCTAAAGGGATAGAATATGAGTGAAAAGAAATTGGTCTTAAGGTTTCAGCAATGTAGAGATATCTGAGTTTCTTCATTAGTCTATCTCTGACAGAGTTCCCCAGACTACTTTATTCTGACTCACCTTTAACTTTGCCAGTATGGTGGGGGAGGGAGGGAATCTGAGTCCTCGTCCATTGTTCCATTCCTGTTCAGCTTATCCCCTACTCCTGAGAGCATTACACCTATGAGCTCAAGATACTTCTCTACCTCACTCACGCAACCACTGTGCCTGGCAGAGAAGGCGGGTGCAAAAGTAGACGGAGTTGTAGACTCAGTGGTGGGGTTCTGAGGGAGTTTCTTCAGTGTGAAGTATGAGACCAGATCATTTCCCCCCAGAGAACTACCTGAGAGGCTTGGGAGTGGGGACATGAGTCACAGTAGAGAAAGGTGGAGAGAGTATAAAACTGTTCTTGAGGAGAGCAGTAAAATGCAAAACGTTGGGGATTGATGAGCATGAATAGAGATACTAATTTCTGCTCTTTTGTGGTTTTCTCCGTTAGTGCTCAGTTGCCTCGGTACTGGGAGTGTTAGAATGACAATTGGATTCATTTAGGGCTAGAGTTTGTCCAGGCAGATGTGATAGAAAGGACAACAGGCAAAGGCGGTGAAGCTGGAGAACAATATAAAGAATAAAACATGAGCCCTGGCCAATGTTGCTCAGTTGGTTGGACCATCTGGTACACCAAAAAGTCTCGGGTGTCAGGACACATACCCAGGATTCTAGTCTCATCACAGGTCAGGTGGGGTGCATAAAGGAGGCAACCAACGGCTGTGTCTCTCTTATATCGATGTTCCTCCCTCTATCCCTCCCTCCCTCCTCCGCCCACCCCCTCCATCTCTATCTAAAATTCAAGAAAAGCATGTTGTCTGGTGAAGATTATAAAACATAAAGAAAGAAAACATGGACTCTATGCTGGGGGAAGGAGGGGAGGGAAGGCTAACAAATATATGAACAGATCCCATCTTTGAACCCTAAACACAACCAAAATAGTTCCCAGCTCCATTCACTTTCCCTGGTTAAGGCCATCAACACCTCTCCTGGAATACCACAGTAGATTCCTAAATGGACTTTTTGCCTTCGATTCCTTGCTTTTAGTCATACTTCTTCCACACTAAAGTCAGAGTTATTTCTTTTTCCTTTTTTAACATTTTTTTAAAATATATTTTTATTGATTTTTTACAGAGAGGACTGGAGAGAGATAGAGAGCTAGAAACATCGATGAGAGAGAAACACCGACCAGCTGCCTCTTGCACACCCCCTACCGGGGATGTGCCCGCAACCGCAACCAACGTACATGCCCCTGATGGGAATCGAACCTGGGACCTTTCAGTCCGCAGACCGACGCTCTACCACTGAGCCAAACCGGTTTCGGCCAGAGTTATTTCTTAAAATTCATAACTCATATTACTATTTCCTGAAACCTTTTCATGGTTCCCTGTTCTTCTTTGGATAAATTCTAAATTTTTTAGCATAACTTTAAAGCTCTTTAAAGATCACTAACCTTGACTCATCCCTTAAAATTCTCATCTTCCCATTTTCCAGCCAGAAACTTCCATGTGCCATACTTTTCCAAACTTCCAAACCCTTTTCCTTCCCAACTTCACTCACACTCATGGCTTTAGTGAACAACATTGTAAGAATGATACCAAATATAGATCATCAGCATGAATCTCTCTTCTGAACTCAGGAACCTTGTATGTGGAATATGGCCTACTGACATCTTCACTTTTTAGTGTATCACTATGAACTCATGATATAACAGACTCCATGCTATATTAAAATATCATCATTGGAAACTTGGTGGCCTGCAGGTCCCAACTAAACTTTTGCTGTATGCTTTGTTTTCCATGACAATGTCTTAATTTTTAAAAATTGGATGCTAATATTAAAAATGTGGAAAATTACATATTGAAGTCCAGATTTCCTTTTTTTTTTTTTTTTTAAGCCAGAAGATCTGGCCACATTGAACCCACTCTCCTTTAGGGCAATAATCAGCTGGATTTGAGTGCTGACTCTCCTCTTTAGATGGCATGTGTATGCCAGTCTTGTTTCCACCACTCTTACCTTTATGGGGTCTCCCTGCCTGAATTCTTTAGCCACTTGTGTTTGCAACCCCTAGTCTGCTGTGATTTTGCCTGCCTCTCCTTTCACCTTCATGGAATCAAACTTCCTGAGGTTTCACTGTGCTTCAGTGACACTATTTTTAGTCCCTTGAACACCTTTTCTTCCCTATTTTAGGGTCTTCACACCTGTCATTCCCTCTGCCAGGAAAGCTCTTCCTCCTCCTCACCCCAACCCCAGCAACACAGACACCTGGATAATTTTTACCCTCCTTCTCCACTGGGCTTAGAGTTATTTTCAGGGGGGGTGGGCGGGGAGTGTTCCTGTCACCCTTCACTAGTTTAGTTCTCCATACTGTACACTCTCATGGCACTCCATACATTTCCTTATTACATTATATAATTTGATAAGTACTTCCTGAGAGTCAGGTATGTCATAATTGTAGTTATCTAAATTTTGCTTAGTTATAGTATTTTAATGGTTCTTTCTACTCTACCTCCCAAGCATATATATATATCTCCAGTGGCCAGAATGCCGGAATGCAGGAACGACCAAAAGACCGGTCACCAGGAGGTGCATTGATGGGTCCTGCCCACAGCAGAGTGGCGGAGTCTGGGTCTCATGTGATTTTGCATGTGGGGCCTCTAGTAATTACATAATTGCTTAAATTCATGCAGCTTAATGTGAGTATGGTATGACTCCCTGATGGTGGCCCTCCTACTAAAGTTGTTACAAGACCGTGGGAATTATGTGTGTTTTCTTCCTTGCTCTATTCCCAGTGCCTAATATACCAAGCAGGTGCTCAGTAAATAAATTTTGAGTACATGAATTAATGAAAGTAGAACATAGATGCAGTGATTAGACATAAAGAGTAAGTAGGGTCCTAGCCCTTTTGGCTCAGAGGATAGAGCATGGGCCTGTGGACTGAAAGGTCCCAGATTTGATTTTGGTCAAGGAATCATGCCCAGGTTGCAAGCTTGACCCACCAGTAGGGGACATGCAGGAGGCAGCCAATGATTCTCTCTCATCATTGATGTTTCTATCTCTCTCTCCCTCTCCCTTCCTCTCTGAAATCAATTAAAAAAATGTATATTTTTAAAAAAGAGTAAGTAGGGAGCCAGGCCATGCTGCTCAGTGGTTGAGCATTAACCCATGCACTAAGAGTTCTCCAGTTTGATTCCCAGTTAGGGCATATGCCCAGTTGTGGACCTGCACTCAGGCGGGGGGCATGCCAGAGGCAGCCAATCAATGTTTCCCTCTCATCAGTGTTTCTATCTCTCTCTCCTTCTCCTTTCCTCTCTCTGTAAAATTCAATTTAAAAAAATATTTTTAAAAAAAGTATAGACCCTGGAAACCAAGATGGTGATACTCACTGCCTCCCACAATAATATTAAACTTACAACTAAAATATAGAACAGTCATCATTCAGAACAACCATCATTTAGAACCACCTGAAATCTGGCTGAATGGAAGTCCTGCAACTAGAAAAGTAAAGAAGAAAGCACACTGAGACTAGTAGGAAGGGTGGAGGGATGGAACGGGGTGGTCTGACACCCACATGTGGCTTTTTTTTTTTTTAAATCAGGAGAGATACCTTGGCTCTGGAGGCTTCCTATGAGGGACAAGGGGTCCCAGTCCCACACCAGACCCCCAGCCCAGGGTTCCAGAGCTGGGAAGAGAAGTCCACGTAACTTCAGGCTATAAAAAAACAGTGGGGATTGTGGCTGAGTGACAGACTGCTGGAGATCCAGGCAGTTCCTCTTAAAGGGCCAGTGTATGAATTTACTTGGACTCACTCCCTCTGAGCTCCAGTGCTTGGAGAACACATTGAGGGGATCCAAGGGACTGGATTGTCTGGCATCAGAGCAAGAACTCTGGGGTGGCTTTCTCCCATACAGGGATGCTTTCAGGGATCATTGTTCCTATGCTAAGACCTCCCCTGTTGCAGAGCTGACTGGCAGCCATATCTAAGTTTCCATCAGCCTGGTTCACACTGTTTACTCCACCCTGGTGATTCCCTGAGACACCGCTCCATCCAATTTGCCAACCTGCCTAAGCTGTTTGCAACAGCCTTTCTATATGAATAGCCTATCCTGGCTCAAGCTTCAGACTTTCCTAAAATCTCTCAAACAAGCAGCATCTGGCATCAGTATGCCTCATACTTATCAATAAGAGGCCCAAGACAGCTTGGCCTCCTCTGAGCACTACACAAGTAGCAGTCATATACAATCACTCTGTGGCTCCTGGAGAGTGGACCCAGGCAGTGACTGACTTTGCCCTTCCAGGTAGGCCTGATGGACAGTTTTAGACGATACCAGATTACAGCTTTACACATCCACAAGTGACAAGCTCAAGGGGCAGACTCAGTGAGCTCCAAAGCCCCACTGAAGCAAGTCCTGCTCCA